GCATTCAACTGTATATTGTGCTTTCACCTCCATTGTTTGTGGGATGGAGTTTATTATTATCACCTCCATTTTATAGGCTCAGAGAAATTAGTCTTTTGCAAAAGCAATGCAAATCTAATCATGGGAGGAAGATGTTATGATCTCAACACATAATTAGTGATAGTGCCAATCCTTTCTGTGCTGATACGTCATGGTTAAAATCACAGGAGTACACTCAGTCCCCCTTTTATGAACAAGTCATGTTATAAAAATTCCATTAGAACTGATTTCCACCTAAGAAGCTTGTGGAAGACAGTTAAGTTTCCCAGGCCGGTGCACAAATGTTGAGTCCATGATATGCTGAAGATTAGCGTAATTAGCATGACTTGAGCCATGTCTGACCATCATTTATAGCATTAAATGGGAAATGTATTGTGAGGCCAGAAACATGTCCCTTCTGAGGGTCCTCTGCCTCCACATCTGTATGAGACGGATGACCTCATTGCATGCTGACTCATGCCTGAAAAGGCCTTTTTATTTTTTCACATCAATGTGCTAGAATGGGCATCTCTGCCCTTCTTTAGCATCTGTGTAAGAGAAAGCTCCTTTGTGCACTTCCATAGCTAGGTAGGGGGCTTCTCTGCACTTCTGTAGCTGTAGCAGTCAGTGCTTCTATTGGGCGGCCATTCCTTGGGCCTACTGCATCATTTAGCAAAGGCCTGCTGCTGGCTCTCTTGTCCAGGGGCTCTGAACACACTGTCTCTTGAATTGGGATGTGTGTGGTTTCTTGGTAAAATGAAAGGCTTCCTGTGGTTGTCTTGTGTCTTCCACGAGACACAGGGACTGCTCTGATATACATCCTTCCCTCAACAGTCTCCCTCTCTCCCCTACCTCAGCCTAAAATAGACCTTTCACAGATGTTTCCAAAGCACATCTGTTAGTGGGTCCCTGCTCCTTTGGAAGCACAGCCAAGTTGCAGGCTCAAGCTTTAAGACACTGATTTGATTACCAGAACAGATGAGTGAAATGGAGCCGTTTAAATTATGAAGAAAAAATATTCCAGGTTGCAAGAAGATCGATTCTTGCATGGTTTTGACCATAATCACAATGTTGTGCAACCTCAACTAGTTCAACATGGCTACTGTCTCCTCAAAACACATGTGCTACCACCCTGCCAGGACCACTAATACTATAGGTGCAAGGTTTTCTGCAGCATTCCCTAAATATCTTCCGGGCCTTCCGAAAATGTGCATCCATTGATCGAGGCTTTCCCTGTGGACCCCGTGGAATAAGTCATCTCCCTTGCTGCTGACAGCTCTAGCATATAAACTCCTCATGCCCTCTCTGAGTGGTCTGTTCTCTGGGCTAAACATCCTCTTCTCATGTGCTTGAATCACAAACCTTTAATGTCCTATTCTCTCTCCTTAGGAACAGCACTGGTTTCTGCATGTAGCCTTTCAGTTGTGCCCTGGACCATCTCTGAGTATGAGATTCCAGACGAAGTCTGACCTGTGCTTTCCTTGATCTGGGGACTGCTCTTCTAGTTCTTCCTGTTACTCTAGGAACCAGACGTGATATTTTCTGTGCCTCTGTTTGTCCACTGTTCACTGTGTGCAAGGCCCCATGTGTGTATTATTTCACAGCAATCCTGAGGCAGGAATTTATATTCTATACTTAAAAATGGTAAAACAGATGTTCAGAGTGGTTAGAGAGTCTTGCCTGAGTTGATATGGCTCAAAGCCTGGGTACTTTCCACTCTGGCATGCTGCCTCTATTTCTAGTTTAAAGCAGCTGGTAATCTGAAAGCTGTTGCCTTTCTGATTCTTCATAACCTGTATTATTCTTCTTGGAGGCATCAGAAGCAGAACTGGATGGAGCTGAGCATTTCTGTTTCCTCTGTGTCATATCTTAACCTTGAGCTAGCTTCTCCAGCAGTGAGTCGTTCCTTCCCGGCTTTGTTTTCATGATCTGAACAGATCTCTGAGAGCCCTTTCTGTTGCCCTCAGCTCCTTCCATTTTCTTCCTTACATGTTTGTGCTGTCGTTTGAAGCCTGTCCTTGGGTTAGGTTCATGTTCTCTTTACATCTCAGGGAGCTCCCATGGCAGCCCTGCATCGGTGTCCTTGGTTGTCTCTGCCCTGTCTTGGTACAGCTTGTGTGATAACAGAATCACAGATCTGCTTTTGAGAGCCCTTCACCCTCCCCAGATTCCCTGTATAATATGGAATCTTAGAGTCATGCCTTCCACTTTTCTGAACTTTTTGAACACTGCCTTCCCAGTCAGTAGTTCCAAAGTCTGATTGTGCATCAGAATAATCTCAAGGGCTTGTTAAATATATAGACTCCCTGGTGCCTTCCCAGAGTGGCTGATTCAGTGGGACCAGTGAAGCCTGGAAATTTATGTTGTTGTTCCAAGTGCCCCCAAGTGATTATGAAGTGGCCAGTGCATGGAGGAGCATTTGGGAACTGTTGGTCCTGACCACATGTCTGATCATGTCCAACCTCTACCTCATGGGTCATCATAAGCTTCAAAATCTCACAGTCTCCATCTCAAGGCTTTATTATTTCTACTTTACCTAGGAATTCTTTCGGAATTCTTTGACAATTTAGTCCCTGCTTCTCATGTCTCTCCTTTCTGAGCTTATTATAGGGAATTAGTATCAAATGTTCGATGAATGAATTGAATTCAAACCATTTCTAGGATAAATTTATAAGCAAATCGAATTCAGGAAGTTGTTGGTTCCTTGGCTTTTTAGCTAAATGGAACAATATTTCAGTCACTGCAGTCTCCTATTACTGTTTTGACTTCCTAGTTTCAATATCTGTTTTGTCTTTCATAATGCTTTTTTTCTGTCCAATCAAATAATCCACAGTTGATCCCCTCAATAATGTCACCTCAATTTCTCTTTTCTTTTATTCTCACTCAAATGCATTCCACTGTGTTTCACCCAAATTTATGGATTTGGGGGCCATTATATTCTTCTTGACCAATTCAGTGCTATTCTTCATTCTCTTTTAGTAAGCTTGTTTCTTTGGGAGCCTTTCCATGGCCAGAGCCCAAGCTCCATTGCACCAAGATTGTATCACATGCAGACTATGACCCTAAACCCTAAGTGAACTCTCTCTGTTGGCATGTAGCCAGCACTCTGGCCCCCTTCCTGTTGCCATCTCCCCCAGGGGTATGTGTACCTTCTCATTTTGCCGTAACCTGATGTTTTTCAGAGTAACTATTACCATATTATAGGCTTTTTCTTCTGCGTCAAGTTTAAACTCTAATCCCCTCCTGTAGCATAGCCTTCTCTCAGGCAAGATGCATATAATAGGTGCACTTAGTCAAGCCCCTACAGAGGTCTGCCCTGGCTTGATCTAAGTGACTGCCTCTCTACAGTCCATGGGAAAGTGAGTCTGGGAAGAACAGGGAGGCCCAGCTCCAGACTGGCCTCAGGCTCCTCTCCTGCCAGGAAGAAGATGTAGATTCCTATTGTGGCAACCCCACTAATAGTTATAATAAGTGACCTGGGATGAATTATTTCAAGAGTCTTTTCTGGGCTTATTCTCTTCATCTGCTAAAATGGGCTTAATAATACCTTGCAGGATTGTTATAATATATGTATGATAAAGCAGTAGGAAGATTTTATTAGAATTATGGTTTACAGTGTATTTAGAGAGCTCAAAGGGTAATTCACAGCTGTTAATTCATTGAGCCTCTGAGCACCAGGCCAAATGGCAAAGGCCCTGTGTGAGAGACACCTCCAGTTCCTGCTTAGGGACAGTTGCAGTCAGCCCTGGATTTGGGCTTGGCTCTGGTCCCTTTTCTGCTGTACTGAATGGTCTTTGAGTTGACCTAAGTGAAAAATGGCTCTTGGAGAAATGGGAAGTTGTTCCTGTATCCAAGGTTTTCCTGTCTGGGTTTGAGTCTGGGACTGAGGGCTAATATGGCATCTCTCTCTCTCTCTCATTCCAATAGGATAGCCCTTTCCTGGCAGAGCACAAATGCCCCACATTACCTGGGAAGCTTTCAGGAGCCATGCCCAATGGAGAGGCTGCCAAATCTACTCCCACTGCCTCCCAGCCTGACCCCACAGGGAGTGGCCTGCTGAGACTGAGTGAGTGTCCACGCCCCTGGGCTGGCGGCCTCAGGAGCAGTGTCCTTGGCACATCCAATTATTGTACAAGATCCCTGCACCTACCACTGAGCCCACAATTGGAGAATGCTGGGGGTGGGTAGATGAGACAAGCTACCAGGTAGTCCCACTTTTCTAGAGATAATGACTATCTGGGCAAGCCGTTGCCTTAGGTAAACACTTCAGAGCCCCAGAGAACCTGAGTGTGTACCCACTCTATTTCTTTCCACCTGCAATTATTACACACCCAGTTTTTCCTCTCCATCTATTCCTCTTCTCTCAAACCCCTTCCTGTCCTCCTTCCCAGCTCTCCTCTTTTCTGTTCCTCTTAGACACAACCTTTCTGTCCCTTTCTCTTTCTTCCTCTGTCATCCTGATCTTCTCTTCTCTTGTCCCTGCCTTCTTCTCTGGAGCCTTCCTATTACCAGTATGATGAGATTGTATATTCTTCTAAGTGACACCAGGGATTCTTCTCCTTAGGGAAATGGAGCTCGTGGCCAGTGGGCAAGGGTGTCAGTCTTCAGGTATCCTTTTGATAGTTTGGACCTGAAACCACTGAGATCATTGCTGCTTTTCATCCATAATAGGCCGTCTTTCCCCAACAGCTGCAGCAGATTCAGAGGGGCCCAGGAGGGAATGTTCTTGTCCTGACAGAACTTTTCCCACCCCTGACTCCTCAGCCCTGGCTGTTCCCTGAGCTGACCCATGTGTTGGCTTCATGAAGGCCAGTTCTACCTTTGGCTGTAAGAGCTCCAGATAAGCCCTTGAATGACTGTGTCCTGGTGACACTCAGATTGTGGACTTGTAGCAGCAGCTTTGGATCATTCCAGTCTGCGCTGAGTGAGTCCTGGCATGCACACAAGAGCTGTGTGTGGCCTGGTGTATTCAGCCCTCCCTCCCTCTCCCTGTGTGCTGATACCTCAGCCTGGCAGGAAGTGCCACCAGGAGTGTTTGGTCCCCTCACGTGAGGCCTCCTTTCACTGCACTAACCCTGTGGGCTGAGCTCGGTCACCATTCACCCATCCTTCTATGTGGGATTATTTTTCTTTCAGTTTGAGTTTTTCTCTCTTGCTTGATGACACTCTTTTGTTTATTTCTTTGCTTCCCATAACTCTGTTGGGCTCGACTTTGGCCTCTCTTGTTTTCTTCATATGGCTTCTCTGCTTCTTGGTTGGCTGGAGATCGTGGCCGGAGTGTCAGTGCCCCTGTATTAGGTACTGTACCCATTCCAGGTGAGGTGGAGAGTGAGAATGCCCTTGTTTCCCTACCCTAGGACCCTCCTCCCAAACATTCAGCCATGTTCCCACTCCTGCCTGCATTTCTTCATCTCCCTTGGGGTAAGGAGAAAAAGCTCCTTTTTGGAGTAATCAGCAAGTACTTGGACCCCAAACCCTTAGAATTTGAAGACCATTAGCTCACCCAGCTTTAAAACATTAGCTAATTAACTCCTCAGAAAACCTGGAGTGAGCATGAGCCCTGTTGGTCTCTCAGATCTTGGTACAGAGTTCTGCCCTGAAGGCATAACTGGGCAGATTCTGCCCACCTCCTACTGAAGGATGGCCCAGGCTTGGGGGAGGTTTTCAAAGGTCACATCCCTTCCTCTCATTCACATGTCATTTTATTCTTTCGTCCTCAGGAGAAACAGAAAGTAGTTGGGATGACACTGCCATGGCCAACAACCTCTCATCCACCTCATCTGGGACTGAGTCAGGCCCCCAGTCTCCTCTGACACCAGAGGGTAAACAGAGCCCCAAGGGCATCAAGAAGTTCTGGGGAAAGTAAGTTGGTGGTAATGATCATAATTATACTGCTTGGAATTAATTAATAGTCTTCTTGAACGTACAGAGTCTGTATAATCCCCTGGCCCATTAGCCGTTGAAACAGGAATAAAAACAGAGCGGTCATGTTTAGAGAGAAGAATCTGAGTTATTTTTTAGGGCCCAGAGAATGGGAACTATGAAAGTCACCCATTTATTATAGCAATCACCTTACATGTCATTCATTTTAGACATCTGTCCATCCATCCATCCCTCCCTCCCTCCTTTCCTTCTTCCCATCCTTCCTCCCTCCCTCCATCCCATCCTTCCTTCCTCCCTCTCTCCTTTCCTTCCTCCCACACACCCTAAGCACATTCTCTGCAGCTCACACTGTATGTGCTTTGTGAGAGACATATGGATGAAACCAGATCCTTCCTTCCTTAGGGGTTCAGCTGTGGTTTGTTAAGAAATTTTTCAAGACAGAGAGCTAAGTATTTTCTGGTTCAGTTGACCTAGTCTGTGAAGTGAGGCAAAAACTTTGGCCTCCTACCAGGCATCAACTTTCACTTTGACCCTCATGAGAGTGGCCCAGATCCCAGAGGCAGGGTCACAGTTGAGGCTTAGGTCTGGCCAAGGGGCTGTCACAGGTTGTAATCTTTGACCTCAGGAGAAGCACTAGGAGGCAATGCTGCCCAGAGTCCACGTTCTGGCCTGCACGGCCCTATGAAGATGGGCACGCACAGGGCACTTTCAGACTGTCTCCCAATGGCCCCCATTGATTCCCTTCACACAGAATCCGAAGAACTCAGTCAGGCAATTTCAACACTGATGCTCCTGGGATGGCAGAGTTTCGAAGAGGTGGGCTCCGGGCAACTGCAGGACCAAGACTCTCCAGAACCAGAGACTCCAAGGGTCAGAAAAGGTAAGGCTTCCTCCAGTCCATCTGCAAAGAGCTATGTGAAATCCTGGCTAGGTTGAAGTGGGAGGCTGGGTGTCCCAGCCTTGAGAGATGAAAGGCAGGGGCACATATTGCAGGGATTCTTAGCCTTTTCCACATGACACACATAGAAATTGCTCAGGCTTAATAAGGACACTGAAAGGAGTCTGGGTAGCGCAATGGTTAAGCACTCAGCTGCCAACCAAAAGGTCAGTGTGTTGAACCCACCAGCCTTTCAGCAGGAGAAAGATGTGACAGTCTACTTCCGTAAAGATTTGCTGTTGTTGTTAGGTGCCGTTGAGTTGATTCCGATGCATAGCAAGTCTATAGGACAGAGTAGAACTGCCTCATAGGGTTTCCTAGGCTGTAATCTTTATGAGAGCAGATCACCAGGTCTTGTCTCTCATAGAGCTGCTAGGTGGGTTTGAATCACCAACCTTTTGCCTTGAAAAACTCTGTGGGATGGTTCTACACTTCTACCCTGTCCTACAGAGTCGCTATGAGTCGGAATCGACTCGATGACGTAGGTTTTGGTAGGGATGCTGAGGTAAATGCAAGAGGCTTCTTACAGTTGGAGGTGGGTGGTGGGGTGGAACCCTCTGGCAACCCTGAAGACTGAGGGGCTGTACAGCTCCACACTTCTGTACTCCATTTCCAGCAGCACCTTTGCGCACTGCATTGAGAAGCTCTGGTGCAGCCATTAAGAGCGTAGATTCTGGAATCATAGACCAGGGTTGATATCTCTGTTCAACAACTTCCTAGCTGTGAGACCTAAGCCAAGTTACACAACCCCTCTATACCTCCATTTCCTCATTTGTAAATTGGGGATTAAAAACAAGTATTTTATTAAAGTTCTTATGAGGATTACATGAGCCATTGTACATCTACCCCAAGCACCAGCCTTCTCCCATTCAAGGGCTAACTTCCTCTAGTATATTTTGAAAAGAGAGTCTTTTACCTGCTTCTGGATTAGCCCCCTTCTTCCACACAGACCTCTGCAGAAGGGTGTTGGTGGAACAGGCCACATCTGTCTTTATATCCCATAATACCATTATACCAAACTTTACTGAAGGGTGATTAACTAAAGAGGATTGCAAAGGGATATGTGGAGCTGGAATCAAAATGGTAAATTTCACATGATGGTTTGCATCCCACCTTAATGAAAAAGCATAAAAAAAGTTAAATTTTTTCAGAGGATGCCCTCACCAGGTAACACTGTCCATCTACTCGCTTTAGTCCCCCTTTTTTTTAGATCACTCTGTTGTGAGTAAGAGTGTCTCCCTTCAAACCTGCAGGATGTGAATCTTTACCTTCATGTTTTAGAAAACCCCCTTTCTGTATTCTCTTCTTCCATCAGGCAATCCCTAGAATGCACCATCTTCAGCAGAATATCTCCTAAAATCTGAGTTATTCGGCCAAGACCAGTACTTCTAGGGGCTTTCTACAGGACAGTCTATTTTACTGGATTTTGATATTTTAAATATAACCAAGTAGTCAAAGTTTAATGTCCTTTTTCACATAGCCACATACCAATGCAAAGTGCAGGTAACCATCAAATAAGATGTGCACGTGTGCACACGCACTCACACGCACGCTCATACATCTTCCCTGGTCAAATATTAATTCTCAGAGATAGATGCAGTCCAGATCTCAATTAAGGGAGAAGAACACTTCCCTAAATGCATCACAGTGTTCACAGACCTGCATCCCCTGTGGAATGGGGCACTGTGTGATTTTGTGCAAGGATGTGATACTCCTTCCCTGGCTTGTCACCCTCAGATTTCTAGGCATTGCTAAGTCATTCCGTGTATAATACACCCAGACCCTCCAGATGTCTGGAAAGGATGTATGGACCTCCTGTACATGGATCCCCAGGGATCAAGGAGGTTGATGTTTACTCTTTCAGTACAAATAGGAATTCTCAGTAAATGTCAGCTTTTAGAGGCAAGAGAATCTAAGGACTTGATCTGAGGAGGTAGAGACCATCTCAGAGCCATTAGAAAGTGAGCCAAGGCCATCTGGGGTCTTAAAAGCTTACAAGCGGCCATCTAAGATGCATCATTGGTCCCAACCAGCTGGAGTAAAGGAGCATGAAGAACACCAAAAACACAAGGAAAGTATTAGCCCAAGAGACAGAAAGGGCCACATAAACCGGAGACTTCATCAGTCTGAGACCAGAAGAACTAGATGGTGCCCGACTACCACCAATGACCACCCTGACAGGGAACAGAACAGAGAGTCCCTGATGGAGCAGGAGAAAGGTGGGGTGCAGAACTCAAATTCTAGTAAAAAGACCAGACTTAATGATCTGACTGAGACTGGAGGAACCACAGAAAGCATGGCCTCTGGACTCTGTCAGCCCAGATCTAAAACAATTTCCGAGGCCAGCTCTTCAAAGATTGGACTGGACTGTGGGACTTAAAATGATGCTCGTGAAGAGCGTGCTTCCTAGCTGAAGTAGATACATGAGACTAAATTGGCAGCTTCTGTCAGGAGGTGAGATGAGAAGGCAGCGAGGGTTAGGAGCTGGTTGAATGGACATGGTAAATCAAGGGTGAAAGGAGGAGTGTGCTGTCACAGTATGGGGAGAGCAGTTAGGATCACATAACAATGTATGTATAAATTTTTGTATGAGACTAACTTGAAATGTAAACTTTCACTTAAACTACAACAATAAATTAAAAAAAAAAAGTGAGCCAAGGAAAGCTTACATACGTATCCCACATAAGGGTATTCTAATTTATCTAACAAAAGTCCCTTAATTTAGATATTAAAGTTGTTTCTGATATTACTGTGGTAAAAAAATAAATACAGCTACAGTAAAGACCTTTGAATAATTGATGTTTGTTCCAATCCTGGCTATTTCTTTAGAATTGACTTTTAGAAGGAAAATCGCAAGATCAGAGTGTAAGAACTTTTCCAAGTCCCTTAGGCTTTTTCCTAGAGTAACCAGAACCAGTTGCCATCAAGTCGATCCTGACTCAGGGTAACCACGTGTGTGTCAGAGCAGAACTGTGCTCCATGGGATTTCCAATGGCTGATTTTTCAGAAGTAGATCACTAGGACTTCCTTCCAGGGTGCCTATGGGTATTCTCAAACCTCCAGCCTACAAACCTAGCTTTTAACAATGGATTATCTAAGATAATAACAAAAACACAAACAGCAAAAGACAAAATAAATAAGTGGGACCTCATAAAAATGAAAAACTTTTGTTCATGAAAATACTTTACCAAAAAAGTAAGAAGACAATATCTTTGGAAACCATATATCCAATAAGAATCTAATAACCATAATATATATAAAACGTTGACAACAACAAAAAGACAACCCAGTCATAAAATGGACAAAGGACTTGAAAAGATATTTAACCAAAGAGGACTGTCAAATTGCTACCAAACACATGAAAAGATGCTCAGCGTTGTTAGCTATCAGAGAGATGCAAATCAAAACCAAAATGAGATACCATTTCACTCCCACTAGGATGGCTAAGGAGCCCTGGTGGCAAAGTGGTTAAGAACTCAGGCTGTTAACCAGAAGGTTGGCAGTTCAAATCAACCGGCTGCTCCTTGGAAACCCTATGAGGCAGTTCTATACTGTCCTATAGAGTCACTATGAGTCGGAATTGACTTGATGGCACACAACAAGAAAGATGTCTAAGATTTTTTTTTAAAAAAAAAGGAAAGAATACATTTTGACGAGGATGTAGGGAAATTGGAACCCTTATCCATTGCTGTTGGAAATGCAAAACAGTATATCTGTTGTGGAAAACAGTGTGATGGTTTCTCAAAAAAACTAAAAATAGAACTGTTATATGACCCAGCAATTCTACTCCTAGTATATACCCAAAAGACTTGAAAGCAGAGACTCAAAAAGAGACTTGTACACCAGTGTTTACTACGGCACTATTCACAACAGCCAAAAGGTGGAAACAACCTAAATGCCCATCAACAGATGAATGGAAAAGCAAAATGTGGTACCTTCATACAATGGAATACTACTCAGCCTGTCTGAGAAATGAAGTCCAATACATGCTACAGTATGGATGGAGCTTGAAGACATTATGCTGAGTGAAATAAGTCAATAACAAAAGGACAAATATTGTATGGCCTCACTTATATAAAAAGACAAGAAAAGGCATATATAGAGAGACCAAAGTTTATTAGTGGTTACCAGGAGCGGGAGAGAGAGGGAAAAGGGAGGCTAAAAGTGATGGAATAATAGCATTGATCAAGGGTTGGGTTGCATAGCCGATTATTGTAATTGCTGTCAATAAGTTATACACCTGTAAAAAGTTGAATTGGCGGAAGTTGTGTGATAATATTTACAACGGCGACCAAAGGGGAAGGGGGGAGGAGTAGCTGCTGAGGCTGCTTGTGTACAACCAAACACCTCATGGGATTTGGTTCCGTGGTTTGGAGGTTTAGGGTTCTGGTTTCATGGAACATTCCAGTTAATTGGACTAATAGCTTTTGTTCTATCTCTTAGTTCGTTGCATAATGCCTGGGGTCTTAAAAGCTTGCAAACAGCCATCCAAGACACAACAATTGGTCTCTATTCACCTGGAGCAACAGAGGAAGAAGGAGAGCCAGGAATAGGAGGATATGGAATGTGTGGCTAATTGCCTCCATGAACAACTGCTTCCTTTGCCATGAGAAGAACTGGCTGGTGCCGGTCTACCATTACTGAACACTTTGAGCAAAGATTCCATAGAAGATTCCTGATCAAAAGAGGGAAAATGTAGAACAGAATTTCAAATTTTAACAGACCCCAGACTTTCTGGAGCCATACAGGATGGATGAATCCCTGAAACTATTGCCCTGAGATTATCTTTAAACCTTAAACTAAAAACATCCCCTGAAGTCTTCTTAAAACCAAACAATAGTTTAGCTTAACTAGTAGAAAATGTCTGCGTTGAGCATTATGCTCTTTTAAGAACTATCTATATGGGATCAAGTTGACAACAGCAACTGGAAAGATTAGAGGGCAGTGAGTTTATGTTAATGAGGAAGGAACAACTCAGAAAAGGAGGGTAAGAATGATTGCACTACTTGAAGAATGTAATCAATGTCACTAAATTGTACATGCAGAAACTGTTGAATTGGTGTATTTTTGCTGTGTATATTCTCAACAACAACAACAAAATGAATAAAATTTAGGAGAAAAAAAAAAAAGTCCAACCTTTTGGTCAACCATTTTTGCCACCCAGGGCTAGATCTAGAGTAGGACTGCATACTTAGGGAAGGCCATTTGCATTCTGCCAGTCACTTTGGGTTACAGGGTAGTCAACTTCAGGGACAGGCACTGGAATAGGAACTTTCTCTGCCAAAGGAAAAAAGCTGCAGTCTCAGCCACACAGCTGCTTTGATGGAATGTCTTTGTGCTTTGTTAGCTGTAACAATGGATGGTAAAGGGAATAAGAATGAAGTCCAGATAAGATTGCTGTAGTCATCATAACAATGCTTGTGGTCACAAAATGAGTTTGCTGATGGAAAGGAAAGGCCTTTGTTATTCTTAGGCAGATATTTGATATAACTATATGCTAATTTCCTCTGGAATTTATAGTTTATAGATATTTAGACATAGCTTTAAAAAAAATTGTTACTAATACTCCTATAGGAAACGTACTTTTTTATTCAAGCTCTCCAGCTCCAATTCTCCCCCTCCCCCCAGTGAAACAACTGTTTTTTAAGTATAATATTTGATGATGACATTTTGTAGGAACCATCAGGTTATAAAAGAACAAATTTTGTTATCCTTTTCCCAGGTAGGGTTTTATTGACTTATATTCCAATTCTCACTGCTGAATAGAGAGTGCCTGTTAAACCTACACCCTTGTCGGCATTAAGTATTTCAATTTTTTTCTTTATTTTAACTTCTCTAGTTGTATATATGTAGAGGAGCCCTGGTGGCACAGTGGTTAAGAGCTCAGCTGCTAACCAAAAGTTGAGTTGCCATCCAGGCTCTGTTTTAGTTGTATAGACCTCTAAAAAATATTTAATTTTCATATGGTTTTCATTTTATTTCCTTTGTGAATTATCTGCATCTTTTGCAGATTTTTATTTAGTTATTAATATCTTTCTTATAGATTTCTATCTGCTCTCTATGTGTTAAGATGTTCAGCATTGCCTGTAATAATTGTGACAAATTATTTTTTTTAGGTTTGTAGCAGAACTCTTATTTTTGATACCTTTTGGTGTGTGGAATTTCTTTGATTTTGTACGATGAAGTTCATCAACTTTTCCTTTGTGATTTCTTTCATTTTATTTTAAAGTTTTTTGATGTATTTTTTAAACTGTATTTGACTAATCTATTTTGGGATTTATTTTGGTATATGGTGTGCAGTATTTTTTTAAAGAAAATGGCAGCATAATGAAATGTTTCAGAGGGCAGGCTCTAGCACCACATGGCTGGATCCCATCTGTGTGGAGGATTTTGAGTTTATCTAAGTGTATTGCTCTTCAGGGCTCCAGTTTCTTGGGTGGTCTCCAAACAGACGGCTTCTCTGCATCAGGCCTCATTTTAGTGCCTTTCCCTCATATTCATGGCCAGAGTCAGATTTATCATGAATGTAAAGAGGCTTAAGCTTCAAGGCCCTTTACTTGCATGTGCCCCTTCCAAAGCCCAGAGAGAGCCCAGTCAGTGTGTTGATAAGAAGATGCAAGATCAGCAGCCATGTCACAATATGAATGTGTCTTCCGGCACTTGAGTGGAGCCATGGTGGTGCAGTGGCTAAGCACTTGGTTGTTAACAGAAAGGTCAACGGTTTGAACCCAATAGCCACTCCGAGAGAGAAAGATGTGGCAGTCTAGTTTCGTAAAGCTTTACAGCCTTGGAAACCCTCTGTGGCAGTTCTGTTCTGTTCCTGCACTGTCACTGTGAGTTGGAATTGACTTGATGGCAGTGGGTTTGGTTTTTTGGTTCTAGCACTTGGCACCAGAAGTATGAGGTAATGGAGGAGAAACAACATTTGAAGTGTACAAAACCAGAAGCTAGTCTGGGGAAAATTCTTCCTAATCATCAGAGGTACAAAAATCATGTGTTTTGAGAAATCTGCATAAGTATTTTAAGCACAATCACTTTTAAGACTGCTGGTGCTTTTTATTCTAACCACCCCTCTGTCTATAATTTCCCTTGTATCAGGTGATGTTGGAATGGCCATGGGCATTTTTGGGATCTGGCTAAGGGGAGGTTGAGTAGGGGATCCATTAGTTTGGGTTTAGTGGGTTCTGTGTATTTGTTTGTAGTCACTTCATGTTTAATTAAGTTACTGCTAGCTGCCCCAGTGTAAAAATATTTTCCAGGATTACTCCTACCTCCCATTGTACCAATTTGCCAAGTACTGCGATGTGTAGATGCAAAGTCAGAGGTCATGTCACAATATGAACATGTCTTCTGTCACTTGGCATCAGAAGTATGAGGGAGTGGAGGAGACACAACATTTGAAATGCACAAAACCGGAAACTAGTCTATGGGAAATTCTTAATCTTCTTTCTGTCCTCATAGAACATGCTATACAATTGTTGACATGTGAAGAAGCAATCAAAAGAGTATGCAGCCAAAATATTAGTGTAGGAAAGTATTATAGAGGTATATCTGGGAGTGAATCAATTAAAATGTTTGCTTTTCTGGATTTTATGATACTTTTCATTTTTTTATTAATGTGTAATTTTTTGTGACTTCTTATTCTAAATATTTACTTTGTACCTGATTCCATATTCAAATGTTATGCTTTTCTTAAACAGAGCCAAATTTTATAAGCTTCAGGCCTCACAAAACCTGCATCTGTACCTGTTTGTGGTCCATTAAAAACCAGGCTTCATGTCATGAGTGATTGGCACTGCCCCAGGGCACACATTGTCTCCAGCACTTTTTCTAAACTAGGGTTTTCTTGTCATTTCTGACTCTCTAAGGTATTCCTTTGCTTTAAGAACAGCTCAGCCGTACATTCTTTTTTTTTTTTTTTTTCTTTTAACCAAGCGTGTTATGGGTACTTTCCTGGGAAGAATTTTTCTGAATATCTAGGTCTTCTATATTTTACAAATCTCCATTTATTTTAAAAAATGAATATAAAATTGCTTTTTTAAGCCCTCCATCCCCTAAAAGAGACTCCTTTAGGATTTTGAGTGTGCCATTACATCCACACTTTAAATGAAAAATTGATGTCTTTAAGAATTGATGGCTTTATAATACCCAGTCATCCTGTCTTGGAACATGATCTAGCTCTTCATTTATTCATGTCTTTTTTTATGTTGCTCAGAAGAGTGTTGTAACTACCCCACCTCCTACCGTCTCACCATCACCTTCACAACTATACACGCAGCCACACAGGACCCATACATTTCTTTTTAAGGCACCTTGTAGACATTTGTATGTATGGTTGCTATGAATAGGATTTTTCAGTTGTTTTAATAAAAATACTAGTATCTCTGTATTGATGGTATGTAGAAAATTGTTGATTTTTGTATGTGTACACTATATATATTATATGTGCCTATATGTGTGTGGGCATGTGTTGTGTGGATAGTCACATAATGGCTTGTAGGTAGCCCATCCTATCATCTGGAAATAGTGGCTTGCTTTTATTTCTACTTTCTAATAGCTGTACTTATTTTTATTTTATCTTCTTATGTTGGCTGCAACTCTCATAATGGTGTTAAAAGTACTGATAAAAAATACTGCCTTTTTATTGACTTTGAGTCGGAATAGACTCACGGCAAATAACAACAACGATTGCTGCATTAATACATAAGGTATTAGCTATTGTCAGTTGGAGTTAATTTGTTTTTTAATGTGAGACCACTGTCCCCTTTTCCTAGTTTTCTAAGCATTTTCTTAAGAATGGTGTTGAACTTTGTTGAAAACATGATTGAGTTGTGGATCTCTGTGCTAATTCAGTTGTGGCACATGTACATGTTTGTGTGGTCCTATGGCACATATAAACATGGCCTCATGAGGGTCACATAGGCTGTTTCAGGCACGAAGTATCTGGAGAGTTGAAATTCAGACCATGCGTTATCACAGAAAACTCTAGGGTCTACCTCAAATGATTGTGTTGCAGTGGAATTTTGTTCAACTAAATTCCATGGTCAGGGTTGTTTTTTGAAAAAAAAATACTTCATGTTGGTGAGACTTTATTATATTCAGATGAAGCCTCAGGCTCGCACACTAACAGGAACATGCTGTTTTCCTGCTTCGCAGTGATGCCAGTGCCCCCTTTGCCCAGTGGAACACAGAGCGTGTATGTGCGTGGCTGGAGGACTTCGGCCTGGGTCAGTACGTGATCTTTGCTAGGCAGTGGGTGACGACTGGTCACACATTACTGACAGCTACTCCTCAGGATATGGAAAAGGTAAGGGCTGAGCTCCAGACAAGGTGGCTTCTACTCCTTCCCAAACCAATGCACCAGGAGGTGAGTTCCCCCTCCCTCCTGCCCCCCCCCCACACATACATGGGAAGTTGGAATAAAGCGGGACAGAGGAGGTGGAGATTCCCTCTGTAGCTGCAGGTTGACACTCCAGGGCACTGTGCAGAGATCTGCTGTCACACTCTCAGAGTATCTCTACCACGATGGCAGCCTCTGGGCTGAATTGCCTGCCTAAATTTTACATCCAGTTTTCCATCTTGTCAATTTCAGGAGCTGGGAATTAAGCACCCTCTACACAGGAAGAAGCTGGTTTTAGCAGTGAAAGCCATCAACACTAAGCAAGAGGAGAAGTCTGCACTGCTAGACCACATTTGGGTGACACGTAAGTATGCATGTATGTGATAGGTGTGCTTCTGGCAGCTCCTAAAGGGAGAAAGAGTTACCTGTTGAATGTGTACCTCAAAGACCGCTGTCTCCTTGTGAAAGGCAGGATTACTGCCTTTTGGGGAATAAAACTGGAACCTCAAAATGATAATTTGCTGCCCTTTTTTTTTTTTTTTTGCCTCCACATTCTCCCAATTGCATGAATCCTGACACACCTGTTTCTTCCTATTTCTGTAGGGTGGCTTGATGATATCGGTCTACCCCAATACAAAGACCAATTTCATGAATCCAGAGTTGATGGACGAATGCTGCAATACTTAACTGTGGTGAGGATTTTTCCTTTAAATATTTCAGTTCTCCCTGTGAGCGCTCAGTCCAGGTGTAACCATGGTTGTCATTTAAGCCTAATGCTACCTCCTTCCTCGTATGCTTAAGATGTTGAAATGGTATCATTTGTTACATAAGAGGTCCCTAATAGTAGAGTGGAACCCCTGGGTAGTGCAAATGGTTAAGCACTCAGCTACTAACTGAAAGGTTGGCAGTGCAGTTCAAATATACCCAGAGGCACCTTGGAAGAAAGGCCTGGTGATCTACTTCCAAAAGATCACAGCCATTGAAAACCCTGTGGAGTGCAGTTCTACTCTGAAACACATGGGGTTGTCATGAGTCAGAATGAACTCAATGGCAACTGGTTAGTAGCAGAGTACAGATTATTGCAGTAAAAGAAGCTGTTGATATGTCCGCATGCAGCTTCCTGCAATGCAGTAGACTTGTCTGTTTGGTCTGAAAAGGGACCTTAGGGGCCTTTTGTCACTCTGGTAACTCTGGTTCATCAACCAAGACTTTCCTCTTCCAGAATGATCTACTCTTCTTAAAAGTCACCAGCCAGCTACATCATCTCAGCATCAAATGTGCCATTCATGTGCTGCATGTCAACAAGTTCAACCCCCACTGTCTACACCGGCGGCCAGCTGATGAGGTGAGGGCAGGGCAGGACCTATTTGGGTAGCCCTGAGCCAGGACACCTGAAACATCATGTGAAATAAAACAAGAATGACATCATCACAGAAATGGCTGCATTCTGGGCCATGGTGCTCGGGATTCTTCCCCTTGCTAGTACTCTTCAGTTCCCTTATTGTGCCCAAAGCACTCCTGTTACCTGTACTTTGTATCCTGGGACAGCCCTAGACCTCCAGGCTCCCACCCTCCTTTGGAGAACTTGGAGGCATAGGGATTTGGGGGTGAACACATGCTATGGACCAGAGGGCAGAAGCAGCAAGTCTTTTGAAGGCATCATAATGAATAAAGGAGATGGTGCAAAGGAAGTGGAAGAGAAAAGACAAAATAGAAAGATGGGTGTCAAAGTAGGCAGAGGAGAAGAGACGAGCTAGAGAGGAAGGAGGGAAAAGGAGACCATAAAGAACTAGACATTTCAGAATAGATTTTCCTATTGGTAGAAACAAAAGTAACTGATCTCCAGTCCCAGGTACATAGGAGATCCATGAGCGGGTTTTGCTGGAGAAGAAGTACTGTAGGTCAACACAGCAACCAAAATCCTGGCAAAGTCCCTGATAATGTTCCCTGAGTCTAGGAGTTCCTTGTGGGCCTTGAAGCTGAAGAGTTGTCAGCCACACTCTGTCGCCTCGGTTTTGGGAGCTAAGTCTAACCTTTCTGTAAGATTAATTCAGCTTCCTGAAGGATTAAAAACTCCCTACCTCTGCCCTCCATCTCGTATTTCTTTCCTATTCACCAAATATGTTTTGAATGCCTTATATATCAGATACAGTGCTGGGCGTTTTGAAGACCAAGACGCCACTTGAGGGCACTTAGGTGTAAGTATTTTAATCTGTGCTCCCCTAAATTGTTCTGCCGCACCAGGGAGATCTTATGTCTATAAAACACTCAGCTCAGAATTGACAAGTCATTTTCAAAGTTCTGTTGAATCACGGAATGATTATAAGACTTTGTATATTAGTCCCAAAGTTAACCTGAGAATTAGGGAGTGACAGGATTCTGGAATCAGATTTTTCAGTGTAGAAAATCCTGCAAGTTTCAACAAGAGCTCTGTTTCTTGGAAACTGGGAAGACTCTCAGGCAGATAGTCTTGGCTAGCCTGGGTCACTAGGCCCGAGGGCCCCAGGATCGTTTCTCTATTGGTGAAGTGTCTGGGGCCTGCACTGCCTGAGCTACCCTCATGGGACAGGTTAGGACCTATTAACCTACTTTCTTCACTCTCCTTCTCACAGAGTAACCTTTCTCCTTCAGAAGTTGTGCAATGGTCCAATCACAGAGTGATGGAGTGGTTGCGATCTGTGGACCTGGCAGAGTATGCGCCCAACCTTCGAGGAAGTGGCGTCCATGGAGGTCTCATTGTGAGTGACTCTTTGGACTAGCTCACCTGCCCACACCTGGGGCCAACTGGAGTATTCAGAAACTTATTTCTTAAGGGCCAGACATAAATCCTAGTAAAAGATAATTAATATTTCATCTGAAGTCCTTGCATAAATTAAAGTCTCAAAGAATCTTGATAATTTTGCAACTGAGGATTAACATACCTCATGGAAACAAGATGGCCTCTGGAAGGCCTTCCCTAGCAACAGACCCAGAGGTATTCTAGGTCAGTGGGGTTGCATGAGGATCAACCCTTAACAAAGCAACTCCACCTGTCTCTAAAGGAACACAATGGCAGGGGTTGTGGAAGTAAGGGGGAGGCCATCAAAATGTAACTTCAAGCCTGTGATGATAAGCTCCTCACCACTCCCATCTGTTGAATGGCAAAGCCAGAGGGGAAATGAGGAGGTGGCTTGGATCTCATCTGGAGCAGAGTCTGGGAGACAGCCTAATGGAAGAGGTCATAGTTCTCTGCTGGTCTGTGAAAATGAGGTAGTCAGTGCAAGTGTCTCCTCAGAGCCAGGCCTCGTGTCAGGTGGAACTCAGAATGAGTGGATGAGCCTTAGCCCCTGCCCTGGAGGTACCCACAGGCCCATGGGGGCTGATTCTCAGCATCACCCACCTGGAGCCATCTGTGGTCTCCACTGGGTAACTTTGTCTGTGGTTTCTTCTTAGATCCTGGAGCCACGCTTCACTGGGGACACACTGGCTATGCTCCTCAATATCCCACCACAAAAGACGCTCCTCAGACGCCACCTAACCACTAAATTCTATGCCCTGATTGGTCCTGAGGCTGAACAGGAAAAGCGAGAGAAAATGGCCTTACCAGCCTATACAGCCTTGACCACCACAGCCAAAGTCCGGGTGAGTTCCAGACCGTTTCGGGGGCAGGACCCAGGGCCTGCCTCTGGTCCTCATGTTGTTCAGCGGCTGGCCCTTGCCTGGAGCCAAGCCACGGTGTGCAGCCTGGACGAGGAGGCTGTTTTGGCTCTGCTGTGGGTGTCTGGCCACACTGTCTGTTATTCTTCGCCAAGCAAGTTTTCTGCCAGTCTTGAGTCTAGGGGAGAAAATGCAGATTTCTTTACACAGAAATGATGTACAGGAAGCTCACGTAGATGCTGATCGGTTCAGAAACTGCATCTGTTCTCAAGCAGCTGGGAGCACATGTGGTACCCCAGTGCTGCTGTCACTCATCTTGCAAAGCAGATGAGTCCCCAAGTCAGGGTTCCTTTGAGTCAGGCCCATTGGTGTGCCACAGTGCCATAGGGTCTTGGTCAAAGCTGTCCTGCTCACACAGGGAGTGTTTCTATCGGCAGCAGGCCCATTTCTCTTGTGCTGAGTTGGCCAGCATTGAGAGGTTCTGAGGTTATCCCAGCACCAGTACCACTCAGCGGGGCTCTGTGAATCTCACAAAGCCTGAGCCACACTGTCTTTAGACCACATCCTTCCCAGACTACAGGTTCACAGCCTGGCCTCTCTCAGGACCTCTGATGTGACCTGCAGCCCTCAGAGCCATAGCCCTGCTTACAGAATCTCTGGAGGCCAGGTTGGCCCCGTCCCCAGCAGTACTTTGATGCCTCAGGTCCAGCTAAAACTCATACAAAGACCTCCTTCCCCAAAGAGCAAGACAGGAAGTGTGATGTGGGTGGAGGGTGGGAGGAGACAATCAGAAACAGCGCTGGCCAAGCTAGGACTGTCCAGTGTGGCTTCCCAGGCACTGGGTACTGTCAGGGGAAGGGAGGTGCTCCCTCATGTGGTGCGGTCAGCTGTGCTGAGGCAAGTCCTCTGGGCTCAGCCTCTAGCTTAGACTGCTGCATCCTCTGGGAACACCCAGGCTGTCTGAGGCAATAAGAAAATCACTGGTAGGGCAGCAGGGCTTGAGTTTTAGACACAGGACTTTGGAGGAGCTGCAATTCTTGTTCAAGATTAGTTATTTGTTGGCCTCTCCCCAGATTACAGTGGGAATTGCTTATAGGGAGCTCTCTTTTGTTAAGATTTTTTCTAGAAGCAGTTTGCTTTATTCCTTTCCTCATGGGCCTACTCTTAAATGTACTGTCAGCCATATTTGCATACTGGCTTGATTATCTCCTTCTCATAATCTTGTGTTTTCTGCATTTTAGCCAAGGAAACTAGGATTTTCACATTTTGGAAACATAAGAAAAAAGAAATTTGATGAATCGACGGACTACATTTGCCCGATGGAGCCCAGTGATGGTGCTGGTGATGGCCACAGTGTCTACAGTGGCTACCGGTGCCTTGGCCCTCTTGATGCCCCTGAACTAGATGGGCTGGACCAGGTGGGACAGATTAGCTGATGCCCTTGTCACCTGCTTTCTCTGTGCACCTGACAGCTTGCAGTAATGCCACGTGTGTCACAGTATAACTGCACCCTCACCCCCTGCATATGTGCATGACTTGCACAGAACATTCCAGCAATTGTGTACCCTTGGACCATTCCTGAGAGTGACCAGGGTATGGAGTTGCATCTTTGCTAAGGGGCCAGGCTTTGGGGACTTTTGCCAAAGGTGAACTCAGAAGGAAAGACACCTAAAGATGCTTTTACATTTTAAATAATTCTTAATGTCCATCTTCAGCACTAGTGGAAGTTCATCAACTTGGACATAGGTCCAAAGACCATGGACAATCCCAAGAGGCTCAGCTCTCAGGCACCTTCCCTATGCTTCAGCTGAGGGAAAATCTCAAGTGCCTTAGGCCTGTGTTCCACAGAGTCTTAGCTGAGATAAAGAGACAAGCAGCAGGGATTTTTGCCATAACGACAGTGTAATTGCATTGTGCCTTAATACAGAGGTGGCCACATCTTTCTGATAATAAAAATAATATTTATGTAGAAAGCAAACACTGCAGCATATCCTTAATCTTGTTGGGGGGAGAGCTGAACACAGCTAGAGATGGAGTCCTACTCATTGTACTGAGCCTGGTCCCCAGCCAGGTACACACTGAGCATTTGCCCCATGAGTCGTGGACAAAGGGGATGAAGCAAGGAAGGGCCTCCATATCCCTTAGACATGCTGCTTTGTGCTCCTCTGCTTCACAGAGGGAACCTTGCGGCTCACACACATCCTGATTGTAAATCATATCTGTCATGCAGACCCCAGAGTTGGTTTCCACTTCAGTATCATGAGCCACCTAGTGAAGGCGATGGTGGGGAGGCAAGAAGGATGGGCTTGCTGGAAAGGCCCTGTGTTGTTTTGTGCATTTTGCCACCTTTTCTATTAGAGAGCTGGTGGAGCCCACAGCCACATAGGGGCTGGTCTGTGTTGGGAGAGGTGGAACAGACCTGTGCTGCTGACCTAGAGCTGACTGATAAAGGTTCCTCCAGATAGCTCCTGTCTGGCCCAGGACTGAGGGACGGACACACGTTGCTAGTCTGGGCTCCCGGTCATGGGTCTCCAGTTTACCCCAGGGAAGCTTTTGGATCCACTGGGCCCCAGGCCATATCTGCAGAAGAATAAGAGCAGTGCCATAACTAATGGCTGGGACAGGGCCTGATGATACACTGTGGATACTCCCATTCTGTCCTAAGTGGAGGTAACACTAGGATTTGCTTCTCAATCACAGGTAGGCTCAGGCATGGTAGAGGCACAGCCTCCCATGAAGTCCAGCCAGCAAGAGATGTGGGCACATGCTCACCAGCTGGCATGGCTGGTGTTTGGTCGTGGTACCCAGGATTGCTGAGTGACAGGTGCTCTTCAAGTCTGATACCTGGCCATGGCAGTTGTAGAGCCACAGTCAGGGCAGGCTTTGTCCTTTGTTTTCTACTGTGCCCTTGTGGGAGGATCACTGCATGTGCCTGTTTTCAAGCCCTGCATGGAATTGTTTGGCTACTAATTCTCTGTGCAGCCTCAAACAAGGCCTATTCCCTGTGTGGGCCCAATTGTCCCACCTGTGAAATCAGGGGTTGCACTTGATGTCCTCAGAGGATGCTTCCAAATCTACAATGTCTACTCAGGTTTAGGGAAGAAGGAGCAAACCAGCATTACCTGAGGAGGAGGTGGGGTCGGGTGGTAGGGGGTAGAGGGTAGGAGACTCCTTGGGAGTGAAGGTACTCCATTAGCATCTCCCTGCGGGTGCCCACCTATACTTGGGCATCCGTGTCTGGGTCCACTCATGCTGGGATCATCACTCCATTCAGCATCCTGGAGGCCTTCATCCCTGCTGCACTCTGCTCCAGGAAACAGCTGGAACACTGGACCTGTGCAGAAGGGCTGCTTCTGAAGGACCTTCCTGTGCCCCCAAGTGCCTGGGTGGGCCTCTGGGAGAGAGTGCACATGGCTATGTGGGACACTGGAAGCTCTGCCTTTCCCCAAGGACAGAAGCAGCATGTGCTTCACCTATCTGTCACTCCTCTGGCCTGATCCACTCCTCGGCTCTCCCCTGGGAAGGCATGCCCTGGAGAAGCCAGGCCTGAGCAGGACAGGACTTGTATGTCTTCTCTGCAAATCACAAGCTGAGCCTGTGTGTGCTGACCAGGCTGCTGCCCATTTTACAGATGGCACCTTCGGAAGGCACCGTGACGCAGATAGGGCTGCTCTCCCAAGACATTCACCGCCTCACGGTAGGACTCCAAATCTCCACAGTAGGACAGGTGCCAAGGAGGGCCAGGGAGTTTGGTGTGGTGGTGCACAAGGCCTGGAGCATTCCCACCCCTACTACAGAGCCTGGGTCATCAGCGCCTCCGCTGGGAGAGAGAACGAAGGACGGTGCTGGCACTTGGGGCCTGAGCCTGAGCCTGCCCTTGAGGGAGAAAGGAGCCCAAAGGCCTTCTCCATAGGCCTGCTGCTGGGCCTTGAGCCACTAAGAGCTTTGAGAAGTGTCATCAGCCTTTAGCAGAGGCCAGCTAAAGAGTACTACGTCTCATCTCTTCCCAGTCTAGGAACTGGTGTAGAAATCAAGATGCTCAGCAGCTCTGGGTCAGCTGCCTAGTCAGCCCAAAGCCCAGGCCTCATCTCTGGCCGTAGGGACATGGTTCTTCCTTCTCTGCCCATGAGATGTGTGCGTTGCCTCTGACTTGGCGGATATCACAAGATGTGAGTGTCCAGTGAGCAGAAACCATATCGTAGGGAGGCAGCTTGGTCTCATGGGAAGGGAAGCATCTCTGGATCTGGAGTTAGACAAACCTGGTTCAAATTCCTGCTCTGCCTCTTACTAGCTCTGGGACTGTGGGCAAATCATTCTCTCTCTCAGCCTCAGCTTACTTATCTGTAGAGCAGGGCTCATAATAATCTCCTTACAAGGCATGTATGCAGACTAGAGTCAGCAGTAAAAAGCTAGCCCCAGAGCAGAGATTCAGGTTTTTGAGGTTCCACAACTCCCAGGGCCCTTTGGCTTCTGGATAGTCCCATTACTGAGCCCACTGGCTGTAGTGCACATCCACGTTGCCTCCCCTGTCCTTGTACTTTGCTTGCTGATCAGCCGAGGCACATTAAGAAGGTTGTGTCCCTGAGTAGTGCAAATGGTTGATATACTTGTCTACTAACCGAGAAGTTGGAGATTCGAGTCTACCCAGAAGCATCTCAGAAGAAAGGCCTGGTGAACTACTTCTGAAAAATCAGCCTTTGAAAACCCTATGAAGCACAGTTCTACTCTGACATACGTGGGGTCACCATGGTTGGAATTGACTCAATGGCACTGGATGGATCCAATGGCAAGTAGGAGGGGCCCCTGAATCCAAGTGGCATCACTTGTATTACTTTTTTTCTTGGCTCACACATTGAAATGAATCTGCCCACCCTTGCACTTAGCACCTCCAATAGGACCTCAAAACAACTTACCTCTAAAAAAAAAAAAAGACCTGTTGCCGTCGAGTCAATTCCGACTCATAGCGACCCTATAGGACAAAACAGAACTGCCCCACAGGGTTTTCAAGGAGCGCCTGGTGGATTCGAACTGCTGACCTTTTGGTTAGCAGCCGAACTCTTAACTACTACATCACCAGGGTTTCCAACTTACCCCTAAGGTATGAACAATTTATTGTTGTCTTAATAGTGTTGTCTATTCTGACCCAATACTCAGACTCCCTGGACACCATGAACTTGCAGGGCACCAGTGTCAAACGTGGACCAAACCCAGTGTTCCTCTGCTTCCCATGGAGGCCACAGGGCAGCCCTGACCAAAAACCCTGTTAAACTGCCCCTTCGGCCGTGTCCTTTCAGACTCTGCTGAGCCAGGACCAGCTGCTGAACGACTCTCGCCTGGCTGCTCCAGGCTCTGATAACTGGAGATGACTTCCTTCATGGCCGAGAGCCCAGAGAGGCACGTGTGGGGACCCTGAGTCTTTGCTTCAATGAGGAGCTGGCACACAGCCATCTGTGGAGCCCAGAATGGGCTGGGGCTGGTGGGGGCATCTCAGACACACGTGCTAACAGGAGCAGAGATGTGAAACAGATGTCCCAGAGATGGCCTCAGTGTCCCTATGTGTTTTCAGCCCTGCTGTGCGCTTCACCGCAGCTTTTCTACCTGTTCTATTTTTATATGTAGACTGCAGACCACTTTTGCAGGAGGGCACTGAGGTCTTCGCATACAGACTCAATGGCTCATGCTGTTCCTGGTGACAGCTGAGAGGCTTTTATACCAGAAGGGAGGGGCTGTTGGTTCATAAAAGCTCTGCTGGGAAAAAAAAAAATGTTCTCAATCATCTGTTGTGACCAAGCTCAGCAAAATGGTAACAGGGTGCCCCCTACTGGGCTGCTTTGAAGGCACGTGCAAGTATTTTCATTCACTTGAATCGGGCAGGGTGAGGGGATTTAGAGTGGCGGGTGAGAGCAGAAAAGGAGCCATAAGACTCCTTTCCTACTGCCCCGTCTGCCTTCAATCTACCCTCATCTGCAGTGGGCATCTGCTGATTCCTAGGTGTTGCTGGGCCTCACAGCGTTCTAGCAAAGGAGTCCCTAATACACACAGACACAGGCCCTCTCCCTCTTCCCAAGCTCACCAGCGCACACTCAGAATCTCTGTCCTACCATTGCCTCTCATCATCCTCAGGTGTAACTGATTAAACATCTTCCCCCTCATTGGAGGGCCCCTGCACGCCCCAAACTCAACATGTTTCCACAACAACTCACCATCTTCCCAAACAAGCCTGTTCCCTCTTGTGTCTCCTGTGTCAGTCAGAGGCACCACCATGCTTTGTCATACAGGGTTAAAACTGAGACTACACCCTCAGTTCCTTCCCCAGTGAATCAGTTGCCAAATGCTCTCCAGCTCCCTAAGTGATTCTGCCCCTTCATCTCCCTCCTCCTGTGACTGCTCTAGTTCAGGCCTTATCTCTCAACTCATTATTGACTGCAGCTGGTCTCCTGCTACTTGGTACCTCATCTCTCCAGTTAGTCCTCTCAGGCATGTTCTCTACTCCATCCCCAGGGTGACCTTCCCAAAGCACCATTTTAATCCTGTCACCTTTCTGCTCACAAGTCCTCAGTTATAGAATTACCACAGGATAGAAGTAAAAATTCTGAGCCCAATATCCAAGGTCCTTTATAGTGATTCAGCACACTGGCTGTGTCAGCCTTCATGAACCCACCACTCTCTACCCAAATCCACTGTTCGAGGCATGTGCCCCCTTTCTGCATCATTCCTCACTATGGAATGCGTTTTTTCTAGCCCCCTTCACATGGCCAAATCTCACCTGTCAAGGCCCAGTACAAACACTCTTACAGGAAACCTTTGTTGATGTTTCAGTTGCAGGTCAACTCTATCCCATAATGTTTTGTCCTTTTCAAGACAACAGCACTTCCTAGATCACCTTGAAGTTCTTTATCTGTCTCTTACCGTACCCACCCTCAACACATACTCACTGAGCACCTGCTTGTGCCAGATCCCATAGTCCTGATAGGAGTAAGGCCCAATCCTGGTGCTGAAATTGCTCGGGAAATCCATGCTCCTAGTTCCCCATCTACCCACTTGTTCACAAGTGCATGTTAAGTACTTTCCATGCACCAGGCCTGGGCTCAGGAGGGGCTAGAGATACAGACACGAATGTCAGGGTTTCACCTAAGGGTGCTTAGTTTACTGGGCGGGGGGTGGGGAGGGTGGGGCAGGAGGCACAGACATATTTAAAACAAGTGTGCTAAAATGTTCCGGGTGCTCCAATAGAAGTCTTGAGGCCTGAAAGAGCAAGTTGTCAATTTTTTTTACTGGGAACTTGAGGATGGGGACCAAAAAAATCTCCATGTATGCCAGAGGGGAAGGGCATTCCAAGCGGATGGGTTGAAACCTCCAAGCATCCTGGGAAATGCCAGTAGTTTATAAAACTAGAACAGGGTTTCTCAGCTTCCATATTATTGCCATTTTGTGCCAAAGAATTCTTTGTGATGGGGACTGTCTTGTGCATTGTAGGATTTTAGCAGCATTCTTAGTCTCTACTCCCTTAGTCTCATCCTTAGTCTCTACTTAGCGCCCCCCACCCCAAGTTGTGATAACCAAAAATGTTTCCAGCCATTGCCAAATATCCTCAGGGGGCAAAATCACCCATGGCTGAGAATCACTGGACTAGAGAATTGGGTCAGAATGGGAGGCCCAGGGAAGGAAAAATCTGGTGAGTTCGGCAGGAGTCATATCAAGAAAGGCCTTGTAAATTAGGTTGCTGGAATTTATCTTGGAGATATGGAGTGGCCAGGATGCAGACTTGAGTAAAAACAGTGAATAGTTTAAAGCAGGGGACAAGCCTCCTTGAGGACAGGATCTATGTCTTAGTCATCATGCAGTGCCCAGCAAAGTATGTTTCCCTGAGTAGGGGATTCACTGAGCATGCGCTGAACAGATGGGTGGATGAATACTAGCCCCATCCCTCCCCTCCCCTTCTGGGCCCTCTGAGACTATCCCTGTTTGGACACCCTGGGAGCAAGACACAGCTGTACTCAAAAGAGCTCCCTAGAGTGGTATCCATCTCTCTCCCCCTCCTTCTCTCTCTGACACACACACATTGAGTAAACTAATTCAGTGACACCAAGTTTCAGCATTGCTGCTAGTATGCCAGTTTTTGTGAAATGGGAATGACTTGGAATGAAACAGACCCTGGTTTGAAGCCCAGCTCTGCCACCTACTGGCTGAATGACCTGGGGAGACTTACTTAGTCTATGAGCCTCAGTTTCCTCATCTAAACTTGGAGAGCAGAATCCCCAAAGAACCTCTGACTTGTTAAGGGATTATATGCAATAAAGTGCAGAAGCGGCTCTGCCCACTCCCAGGTAACATACCTGATGCTGTCAAGGCAACTCTGACTCATAGGGACCCTGTATGACAGAGCAGAACTGCCCCAAAGGGTTTCCAAGGCTGTAATTTACATGGAAGCAGACTGCCACATCTTTCTCCTATGGAGCGGCTGGTGGGTTTGAACTGCCGACCTTTCAGTTAGCAGCCAAAAGCTTAACCACTGTGCCACCAGGGCTCCTTCTCTAGGTAAAATACTAGAGCAGAAGTGTATCATCCTATCCATGAATAGCAGATGGTGATGGTGGTCACGTGTATCATTTGGGCTTAGCATGATAAAGGATTTAAAGAACAGCTTCAGGAACCTAGTGGCACAGTGGTTAACAGCTTGGCTGGTAACTAAAAGGTTGGTAATTCAAATCTACCAGCCACTCCTTGGAAACCCTGTGGGCCAGTTCTACTTTGTCCTATAGAGTCGCTGACTTAAAATCGACTCGATGGCAGTGAGTTTCTTCAGGAACCTAACTTTGCAAGTTGGGAAGTTCTGTACATAACCACTCTCCACACCCTCTCATGCCAGCCCAGTGCCTAGCATTTAGAGGATGCCAAAAAAAAAAAAAGTTCCCCTCACCTCCATTTGATGTTCAAAGCACAGGGAGTCTAGGAAGGATTCCTGGAGCCCACCTACCCTTGGATTTACTACTGTCTTGGTGTATGTGTTTTTAGTAACTATTCCTATTTCAAGGGTCTCCCACAAGAAATGGAAGAGGGTGCCTCAGCCCTGCTGTAGGTTTGACCTTAAAAAATATAGAACACTCTGGGAAGGGGGGGTTCAACAGAGATTATTGGGAGTTGACTGTGACCCCACTAGGGTTTTTTTCTGGAATTCTGCTCTGGCACATTTGCCAGTTCTGACCCCCATGGATATGCAGAAGCCAACTCACATCAGGATAGGCCAAGGCCTCCTTACTGCCCAGTGGGTCCCCCGCAGAGCCACACCCCATGGGTGAGCCACCAGGTTATTTGCTTTGTACTTAAGTTAATTTCACTAAGCCCCTGAAAAAGAAACTGAAATGGAGCTCCTTCAGGCCTCCCTGAGGAAGGAGTCCTCAGAAGCCACTTTGTCTCCAGCCCTTGAACCCACCTTCTTAGGCCCACACACAAAAGAGAGGGGTACCCGTGTGCATGCCCAAGGGTGCATTAAGAGGCCCTTTTGAAAACATGGCAGTTTAACATGGTGAAACTGAACTCACTTTGCAACAGATAAGAGACCAGGCAAATTTGTTAAAAACATGGGATGTGTTAGTAGGTGAAAATCATGTCGTTGGTATAGCCCAGTTTCTCCAGGTTAGGGTGAGCAGCTGTCTGGATCAGGGCGGGTGGGCCACACACCAGGATGAGTGTGGAACCCCCAGGAGGAGGGAGGTGCTCCTTGATCATGTCAGCAGTAATGAAGCCTGAGCTGTATCTCCAGCCTGAAATTAAGCAGAAGCAGAACAGAGCTGTGGGGTACCAGGTCAAGTCTCTGATGCTCAGGCCCCCTGTCCTCCCTCCTCTAAGGCCAGGCAGAGGGAAGCAAGGCTGCTCTACAATGGCTTAGGAGTCTACACCACTGTTCCCTGCAGAAAACCCGAAAGTAGAGGTCTCAGGCAGCCCTCTGCAGTACTCACCCCAGATCCCAGGCTCACTGCTGGGACTCTGAGGCCCCTGGAAGCACTGGCAAGGATGGAGAACATGACACAGAGGTAGGATGTACCAAGGTGTGGTGTGGGGTTTGTGGAACCACTCAGTTGGGTGGCGCCCTCTGCTGAGCAGTGAGCTGTATGACAAAACTGGTACAGTGTCATGCAGTGTAGGAGAGGTGCTTCTGAAGGGTGTAGTGGACATATGGGGTGCAGTGGGCATGATGGTTGCTGGGTGCTTGTTGGGGCTGCAGTGGCTGTCTGGGACTCAGTATGTGAGGACTGCTGTCTAGGTGAGGTGGGTGGTGAAGAGTGCGGCGGTTGTGAGCAGTGGTGTGAGTGGTGAAGTGGGACAGTGGCCATTCTGCGTACTGTGTGCAGCATGTGTGATGGCTGTGTGGATTACCATGTAGTGTGCAGCAGTGGGTGGGCATACAGTGTGGCCCAGCGGTGCAGTATCCCTGGGCTGCACATTAGTGTACTGCGTGGAGTGCTGCTGGGATAACAGACACCTACACTCAATTGCCTTCATAAGCAGTCATCCCAAATCCTATCTCCCTTAAATTCCTACATTCCCCATGTGGAGGCAGAGCCCAAGGCTTCAGACCCCAAGCCCAGTCCTAAAAAGGAAAAAAAAAAACAAGGTCCAGCCCCTGAGAAGAGTCAAGGGTTGGAGCTGACCCATAGTTAGGGCAAGGGAGAGCATACCAATGGGAGGCCTGTCCAGGGTGTACCACAGCTTGAACTGGTCTGAATGAGTTCTGGCAATTTCTTCAAGCTCCACTCTCACCAAGATATCCTCCTCTGTCTAGAAAAGAAACAACATTAGGAAAGTTCTCCACAGACTTCCTGCTTGTTCCCCATACTAAGCAAATGAATCAGCACACTCCTGCCCAAGATGCCATTCTAGCTTGAGTGCCTGCCAAAGACTTCCAGGGCAAAATGAGAATTCTGCTGCTGCTTCTCTGAATAACCCTCTGTCTTGTGGAGGAGCTGGAAGGTGTAGGTTTCCACAGAGCAGGAGTGACCGCCCTCCATCTGGATGGACCACAGCCTAGCACAGGCCGGGGTGGCTTCACTCAGAGGTCCTGGCCCCAACTCCCACGCCTACACTGAGTGCCAGGTACAGTAAACCCAACTGAACAAGGTTAGTGAAGGTGCAGGATCTTCTGCAGTGAATGTAATGGGCTAAAGAAGCAATATGGCAGAATAGTACTGAAGATATAGGAAGAGAAAAACAAAGTCAAGAGCATTTGAGGAAAAAGGAGCCAAAGCCAGAAGTAACTTGTCATAGACTCAGAGATACTGCACAGAAGACCTGGATCTCACTAAAATGCTTCATGATTCTTGTCCCAATAATTCCACTTCTGTGATCAAGCGTAGGGACAAAATTATTCATCACAGTGTCATTTATAATCGTGAAAACTGAAAACAACCTGAATGCAGAAAGAGATTTAGTAAATGATAGTGTAACTTGATGTAGACTATGGTTAAAATATTTATGAAGAGTTTTAATGAGAAAAAAATGCCTGTGTGGTAATGTTGAATGAAAAAATATATATGTGATTGTAAATATACAGCACGTATACAAAAAAAGACTGGAAAATATGTAAGAAAAATGTATCAGGGATAGACTTACAGGAGATTATTTTCTTCTTTATGTTCTACATTTTCCAAAATTTCTACTGAGGGCATCTATGATTTTATGATCAGAAAAGAAGACATGTATTAAGGAAGACACAGTACTCAGGGTTGGCTGGGTTAACAGAAGAGTTAAAACAAAACACAAAAGCAGGCCTAGACTCAGCTTCTTGGGCTGCCCACTGCCCTTGTATCGCCCACAAAGCACTCCCCAGTCACCATGAGCTCACTCAGTCCGGGAGGAACGAATGCAGAGCCCCTGCTCGGCAAACATTCCATCCTCCTATTGCCAGCTCAAGGCTGACTCAGCAGAACTCACCTGGTTGGCAAAGATGAGGGACATCTTGGTTTTGTCCCGGGGGTTCTTGGTGATGTGGCGTATGAGCTGCAGCATGGGTGTAATCCCTGGAACACAGTGGGCAGGCCAGCTTTCACCCCTCTCTGGTGCCCACAGTCCCTCCCAGAAACAGCTGACATTTTTCTTGGGCCCAATTACACTTTTCCCATTGTAGTCCCCAAAATTCAAAGTGGGAAACAGCCCTGCATTTTGGTTTTGGCTTCTAATACAACAATAAATCCAAAGCCCTTTCTTATTTTAATATGGCAAGATGGAAAGCAAGATGGCTAAGAAATCAGAACGGGGTTTCACTCTCAGCTCACTAACTGTGTGGCTTGGGGTGAATTATTTACCTGTCTGGGTCCTTCTATTTTCTCATTTGTAAAACAGAATTAATGAGGAGTAAATATGATAGTTTTAAAAGTGCCCATTATAGTACCTGGTATATCATAGGTGTTCCTTAAACGTGTTCTTTTCGGTGTTTAGTTCAAGGGAGGGGAGAGTCAGGCTTGAACTGAATCCAGGAGCCCTTGGGGGACCAGGGATGGGATGGTCCTGCCCAGCCTGGCCCCAGAGACTACTCCATGTTCCCCAGCCTAGCCTGAGAGGCTCCCATGGCTCCCCAGCAGCCGCCATGTTGGCTGAGGGGGCATGGCACACAGGGTCAGTTCCATGGCCTGTTATTGATCATGAGATGACTTCTACCCACAATAGCCAGGGGAAAAATCTCTAGATCAAAGGACTCCAAAGTCAGAAAGGTCTCAGGGATCACCCTGCGGATGAAGCCCTCCAGATGCCTCTTACCTGTGCCGCCAGCAATCATTCCCAGGTGATGGACCAATTTTTTTTCAGGGTCACTTGTTTTGTCTGGTCTGACTGCAAGATTCCCTGGAAACACAGAGGATGCTTCTGACTTCTGAAGCCCTTGCCTGAGAGCCTGCAAAAGATCACTGCCTTTCCTGGGGGGCTTCTGGAGTCAAGTCCACCAAAAGGATTGGCTGTACTCTTTTAAGGCAGACAAACAGGTCAGGGTTGCCTCCTCAGCCAGCCCCAATGCACCAGTGCACAAAGTGGGAACAAAGCTGGGTCTCCTCAGGGAATTGCTAGACCTTTTCTTATAGGGAAAGAGAAAGGCAACCTAAAGTTAACATGAGCCCCACAGAGCACTCTTACACATCTGCGGCAGTGAGTAAATGCATGAACATGTGAATAAATGCATGAGTGTAGAATCCATCCATCTATCCATTCCCTCATCTATCCATCCATCTCTCCATTTTCCAGTACTGGTAGGTGCCTTTTATGTATTAGGCATTGTGCTAGGCATACAGTGATGAGAAAACACCAAATAATTCCCCTGATTTAATGAAGCTTACAATCTCATAAAGTGAATGTGTGAATAAATGATAGGTGTGATTGTAAATGAATTTGTCTGTGAATGAATGAATATATGAAGACTTTAAGGACAAGCCTATGTGACTCAAATCTAAAAAGTTTTCTAGATCAATGGAACTATCCCAGGAATCTTCTCCCATCCAGATGTAGGCCAAGTGTGAGCCCCCCAATACCTAGACCGTGGTAGAACAGGTGCCCAGTTGGCCCTCGAAAAAGAATAGTATCTCCTATCTTCATGTTCTCCAAGTATTGAGTCATCTTCCCCCCTTCAGGATACTTGGGGTGTACATTTTTGAAGTAGATCTGAAAGACAAGGCCATATGGTTTTCATACCCCCAAGAGTGAGGCCACAGCCACATACAACTTGAAAATGCATTTGCCACTGGAAATTAGAAAGTCCTCTTCTCTCACAGTTGTGGCAAGCAATCCCTGAAGACACTACGAGGCTAACTGCAGCTCCACTGTTAAATGACACTGCTGGAAAACCCAGTCCAGGGAATGTGTCTCTCAGAAAAGAGGCACTGCCCCTCCACTCTACTACCCCTTGGCCCTCAACAGGCTACATGAGCTTGAGGCAGCTGGGACACTGGTGACCATCATTTACCTTTATAATTAAGTCCACAAAACCTTGGTCATCATCACTGGACACAGGAGTATAAGCTCTGATCACCAAATCATCATCAATTTTGGCCAAGAGATGGACATAGTTACCTACAGAAAAGGTATCAAATGTAAGTCCGAACATGGCCAGCCTAAAGAGGACACAGAAATCCCACAGTACTGAACTTCAGTGAGGTGGGCACACAGGGTAGTAGGAATGCATGGTGGAGTTGGGGAGATAAGCAGAGAAGGAGCCCAAATTCAGGATGCCTGGGTTCTAGGCCTGGCCTTGTTACTCAGTGTACTATCCTGGGCAAGTCACTTCACCTCTGTGGGTCTTAGTCTCTTCATCTGTAAAATAAAGATAGACCCACTTGCTTCAATCATAGTGTAGTTGTGTGCTTCTGGTACAGGAAGCCTACTGTCAATGTGTGCTTATTGTGTCAAACTGCTTCGTGGAACAGGAAGAGCTGGAAGGTAAGTATTAAAAATTACAGAAAAGAATGTTTCCTTATTAAAGCAAAATATGTTGCCTTAACAAACTCATTTCTTAAACTGGATGTTATCACTGTGGTCTGTGAATAAATCACAGATACCTCGTCTGTATCCTAGTGCCTGGTACACAGTAGGCTTGGGCTCAGAAATACTGCAGGGCCACCACATTTGGACACACATGGACTAGGAGTTCTAGCAATAGCTTTGTGTCTTCCTGGCCCATGACACTGTTGAAGGGCAGCAGTGAAGTTCTGAATCATGTAATTCTGGCTCTCCAGGGTAGAAGTGACTGGTCCAGGTGTAACCAGCGACCTATGACTCATGACTAGTACATCCTAGTGTCAAATGATGGGCTGGGATTCCCAGATTTCTGTTGGATCTGAACTGAGAGACTTAAGTGACTAAGGTAATTAGTAGCAAGGGCAGGAGCTGCAGTCAAGAGATGCTAAGAGCTAGAGGCAAGAGAAAGCTCCTTGCTAGAGTTTCCGAAGGAGTGGAAACTATAAGCCCAGTAAATTGACAGACGAAGATACAGCAGACATGCAGAAAGAAAAGACATCTAAGGAGAGACAAAGAAAGAAGAAAGGGAACAGGAGGGAGGGAAGGGCGAAGGGGAGGGGGTGTAGAAGTGCAGGTTCTTCAGGTTGTTAGGACCACAAGATGAAGTCTTTGGGGAGGTCCTGAAGCCTGAGGCACAAATACTCTGAGTTTAGAAAAGATAGGCTCAATGACTCTGGCCATGTCCTAGCTAGCCAGGAGGGATACCCAGGAATAAATGCCTGAGGCATCTTCCCTCGGAATCTGAAACTGGAAGCCTGGAAAGGCTCTTTTGGATGCAGCCAACCTGGCCTGGCCTGGCTGCGTCCCCAGAGAAAATGGACTGCCCGGCTGGGCCCTCAGGCCCCATGTCTGAGCCCTTGGCAGACTCCCAGAAGCTTCTAAATTACCTTATCCCACTAACTTTGCACTACCTACACCAGGACTGAGGAGAGAATGAGCCAAGGCAGGTTCCAAGAAATTCTGTTTCTCAAGAGTTTTTCACTGTTTTAGGCCTCTTGCCAACAGGACTGGCCCCACAGGCCAGGCAGAGGACTGGAAGGTAGCCTGACACTGAGCTCTCATGGATGCAGAGGCAGAAAGGAAGCAGCAAGGAGGCTCAGGAACCCAGCTGGTGGCCTAGTGTGTAATTTCATCACCTGATATAGGGGAGGTCAAGGTTTTATCCTGTGCACACAGGGCAAGCAGGCCGTGGATTAGGATCTCTACCAGGCAGGCAAGTCACACTAGCAGCTTGTACAAATCTTCTCCGGACCCCCCGGCCCTGGGCCTAGCCGAGGTTTTCTACCTCACAAACAGCCATCTGGTGGTGCTACAAACTAGAAATGGGGTAACTCTGAACTCTATAACATTGCTAGGGTTGGTTTCCACAATGGGTCCCCTCCTTATATGGGTCTAAGGTCCCTGCAGAGAAACCACATTGTGGATAGGGGAAGAGGCACCTGCTTTTTAGCCTCTAGAACTGCAAGAAAATAAATTTCTGTTCTTTAAAGCCACACACGTGGTATTTGTTAAAGCAGCACTAAGAAACTAAGACAGCTACTATGTGCACAGCACTTTTCAGTTTCTAAATTTTCACATCCATCAATCACTTTCCCCTCACAACAATCCAAGGGCCTGGGAAACTGTATTTCATAGACTGCGGCTCAGAGAGGTTGAGAGACTTCCTTAAGGTCACCCAGCAAGGAGCCTGGGATGAGATCTTTGATCTTCTGACTCTATGGTCACTGAGGTATCACTTTTGTGTGGGGCCAAACTGAACAATGAGAAAAGGGAATGTACTACCCCAAGCCCATCTTCCCACCCACTGAGCTCATATGGCTCCGGAAGTGTATCATGGGCAACCTCCACACCTCAGTTTTCTTTCTGCTAGGAGCAGAGTGCCTAGCCCTGCAAGGGCCCAGTCCTGGTGATGACACCAAATCCTACTCACCTACAGGGAGCCCTAAGACATGGTCCATTGAGGGCAGTCCAAAGCGAAACCTCCGGGTATTATGGCTGATTTGCTAATAAAACAGAAAAACACAGAGGCAGGCTCTGTCAGCTTTCTAGAAGCCTTGCTGGGCAGCTCAAATGTCTAGGAAAGGAGCTTCATTTATTGCTACCCCAGCACATACACAAAAGGGTAGTGGGGAGCAAACCTGAGGCCATGAAATGTCTGTCTAACTGCCCTGCCTTCCCAGCCAGCACATTCCCCATGATTCTTGTCCCCCACTGACAGAGGACAGGGTGGGCCAACCCATTACCTCTTTCTCAATCAAGGGCAGAGGGTACTTGGTTTCAGGGTCCTGTAAGGTGATAAGCTTTCTTCTTGAGTTCTTGTTCTTCAGGGCCAACATGAGCACCGTCAGTCCAATGACAGTGATGGCGAGGAGCAGGGATGGGTCCTGACCAGACACAATGTGAGCAGAGCAGCTCAGGTCTTGCCCACTCTTCAGCAAGGGCAGCTCTCAGGTGTAGTGCACCCTCCCGACACCAAAGGAATAGAAGGAGCTAAACTATGCCTGAAAGAAACTAGGCAGAAGTAAAAGTACTAAAACAGAAGGCAAGTGAGCCTGTGGTGGACCAGGGTCAGGCCCCCTGGACCAGGCCAGGCAGATGGTGATGAAGATCACCAGGCCTCCTTCAGCCTGCCTGCCTTCATCTGAGCTACATCGAAGAGAATATCCTCCTTGAAGTAGAAGGGGTGAGGGCCAGTTTTTGCTCCTACATCACTTCTTCTAAATAGACGATTTAGAATGTAGACCTAATTCCCTCCGAGGGCAGAACTGGGGAGAAGGGCTGTGGGATGGACGCCCCATCCTCCCAAGGTACTGGAAGTTCCGCCCAGCCCTGTCCTCACGCCGGGAGGTCCTGATTCCCCGCCCCCTACATCACGCCTTCTCCAAATCCGCTCCTCGCCTAGCCTGGCGTGCCCACCTGCCCTCCCTGGGTCCAGCCCCGGCCCGCGCTGGCCTCTCCCGGCCCTCGTCTCCCCTCTGGCCCCCGTCCCTGCTCCCCGGCTGGTCGAACTTTCCCCAGCTCCAGGAGGCCCTGTCGGACTTTCGCCTGCTCCAGCCCGCCTCCGCGCGGCCCCCCGGCTTGTCCTCCTCCCTCTGGCCTTTCTGACCCGGCGCGGCTCCCGCCGAACCCACCCGGAATGAGACGCCGAACATGCCGTCGAGCTGAGTCTGGCTGAGGAGGCCGGTGCGCGTCTCCCCAGCTGGCCCGCCGACTCGTGGGCGCCGCCCTGCAGCTCCGCCTGGCGGTCAGGAGAGCCTCGCACACAAAGGCTCCGGCCGGACGAAGATGGCGAGAGGCAAGACCCCGGCAGCGGGACCCTCAGAAGCCGGATACCCGGCAGCAGCACGACCGGCAGCGCGTCTCCAACTCTGCGGCTGACGCAACTCCCTGAGTTGGGCCGACTAGCAGTGTTCTTTTTCCGGTGAGTCTGACCCTCGTTCAGCCCTGCCTCAGGACCTCGCTGAATCCAGGGATTTCCACTGCTTGGGGAAAGCCCGGCGGAGAGCTCGGGGCGTCAGAGTACCTGGTGAAACATCACTTATTTACTACATAGTCCTCTTTCCACCCTGGTCCTCTCCCTGCACACTCAGAGCAGCCATGACTGCGTATCCGTCTCCTCAGCTCCTTTAAATTGTGGCAAAGTTGAAGGGGTATCTGAGTGACTAGTAGGAGGGCGATGCTGGCAAAGAAAATGGGAGTTCAGGTCAATTCGGAGAGCACAGGTAGTGAGCTCCTACTCTGAGCCTGGCGCAGAGCCAGGTGTTTGTGGGAGTGGGGGACGGGGTGGGGGGTGTAGTCGAATTAAAGAAGACATTCAAAGAGCTTATTCATTCTTTCATTCACTCACGATTGGTGGAGAGAAATGACAAGCACCGACGCTAACCCGATGGGAGGCGGTTATGGGGGTTCTTCACAGTACATTTCAGAACCTTGGTACCCCCTCCCCCCACGCTCATCAGTTCTCATATTGCCGGGGGCCTCTTTGGCCTCAGTGAGACAGAAGCCAAGAAGCAGATTCCACCCCTACCCCCAACCACACACCACCGCCAGCACATGCGTGGTGGACACCTCCCCAGCACCTGCAGGTGCCAGAGTATTAATGTCAGATATGATAATTTTTGACAGTCTAATAAGTATGAAATGATGTCCTTTGAACTTCATTTGCTTTACTTAATTGGTAATGAGGATGAGCATCTTTCATATGTTTATTCCCAGCTGAGTTTCTTTTTCTGAAAAAATGCCTATTCGTGATTGTTTGCTCATTTTTCTTTTGAGTTGGATTTTTCATACTGATTTTTAGGAGTCTTTTATATGTATTTTAGATACCATGCTTTTGTTTTCTCAGTTTGTAACTTTTCCTTTTCTCACTTCCTTCCTTCTTTCCTTTCTTCTTTGGTGATGTCTTTTGATGAATAGAAATTTGTAGTTGTAATGTGGTGAAATATGTCCATCTTTTGTCTTTATGACCAGTGCTTTTTGTGTCTTGCCTATCTTTATCCAAGGTCATAAAAATACTGTTTATTTTCTTTGACAAGATTTATAGTTTTTCCTTTCACATTTAAGTCTTTCAACCACCTGGAATTGATTTCTGTGTGTGATGTGAGGTAGGGATCCAATTTAATTCTTTTCATATGAATAATGTGTTTCAGTAGTGTCATTGGTTGAATTATGTCCCCCCAAAAATGTGTGTATCAATTTGGCTGGGCCATGGTTCCCAGTATTGTGTGGTTGTCCTCCATTTTGTGATTGTAATTTTATGTTAAAGAGGATTAGGATGGGATTTAACACCCTTCCTAAGGTCACATCCCTGATCCAATGTAAAGGAAGTTTCCCTGGGATGTGGCCTGCACCACCTTTTATCTGACAAGAGATTAAAGGAAAGGGAAGCAAGCAGAGAGTTGGGGCCCTCATACCACCAAAACAGCAGTGTCAGTGTCGGGAGCAGAGTGCGTCCTTTGGACCTGGGGTCCCTGTGTGGAGAAGCTCCTAGTCCGGGGGAAGATTGATGAGAAGGCCAACAGAGAGAGAAAGCCTTCCCCTGGACCTGATGCCCTGAATTTGGATTTTAGCCTACTTTACTGTGAAGAAATAAATTTCTCTGTTAAAGCCATCCACTTGTGGTATTTCTGTTATAGCAGGACTAGATGACTAAGACAAGTAGCACTTATTGAATTGCTCATATCTGGCCACCAGCGTGCAGGCTACCTCTGTTATATATCAGTTTTCACATATGTGTGATTCTGGTTCTGTCTTCCCTATTCTCTTACATTGATCTAGTTGCCCAGCCCTGTGTCAATACCACACTGTCCTAATTATAATAGTTTATAACAAGTGTTTATCTTTTGCTCTTGTGCATTCTTCAGGTCTCAGCTCAAATATCACTTCCTTAGAGATGCCTTGTCCAATCACCCAATTTTAATTACGTGTACACATTACATTCTATTCATTGCTTTTACTTCAGTTTATAATTACACATCATGAATATTTGATTATTAAATGACTGACTCACACTACTTTGAAAGTTTCATAATGGCAGAGACCCTGTTTCCTCTGGCTTATCACAGTGACTATTATAGACAACATTCAGTAAATATTTAATGAGTGAATGCATAAACAAGTGAATCAGTTCAACTCTGCCCAGCAGTGTTTAGCACACTGCCTTGTATGTGTTAGATAAATTCTTACAGACCTGTGGAAGAGGGACAGTCCTTTTTGTCAGTAGTCTGTCCCCTTCCCTTGCTTAATTTATCTCCATAAAACATATCACCAAATGGCATACTACATATTTTACCTATTTGTTTACGTCTGTCTCTCTCCACTAGAATGTAATTTACATGAGTGCAGGAGTTGTTTAACTCCTGCTGTATGAGGACAAAAAAAAAAAAAAAAAAAAGGGAAAAAAAAAAAAAAAAAAAAAAAAAAACCTGTTGCTGTTGAGTCAATTCCGACTCATAGTGACCCTGTAGGACAGAGTAGAACTACCCCACAGGATTTCCAAGGAGTGGCTGATAGGTTCGAACTGCTGACCTTTTTTGGTTAGCAGCCAAACTCTTTAACCTTTGAATCACCAGGGCCCTGCAGTGCCTAACAATTGGTAGATGCTCAACAAGTATTTATTGCAAGAATGAATGAATGAATGAACAAACGTCATTTTCTCCATTTGAGCCTTTATTTTTGGCTTTGGAATCCAGAAGCACCTCACTTTCTTCTGGGTCCATCTTAACTGTTTGCCTCTAACCTCCATTTTCCCTTCTTATTTCCCCTACCTGTTCCTTCAAAGTTACCAGAGAGGCAGGTGGCACATCTTTATTAATCCCTGGAGCAAGATAAAAGACAGGTATTTACCTAGGCTCCCAGTAGTTTTGAGAGGGCAATGATTCCTGTCTTAGTACTCCTACACACTTTATATGTGCCGCTCACATGCTCATATGCCACCTGGATTGAGGCTTATCTTCTACTATTCTTTTCTGTCTCCTAAAATAAACTGTGAACATATGGCTCCCATCTCTAAATCCCTGGCTTGGTAACAGGGCCTGGCAAAGAGCAGGCCCACAGCAAGTGTTTGCTATAAAAATGAGTGAATGTCTGTTGTTGTCACTGTTTGAACATACATGAAACTCCACATCACCAGCCTTGGCTTCTCCTGTGCAGGCATCATGCCGCCTTCACTGCTGAGTCTTCCCTGGGAGAATTGGTGCCCTGTCCAAGTCAATGAGTGTTTGCTGTCTAAACAATTTTTGGGCTGTTGTGGACTTTTCATTAGGTTTTTAGCCTTGAAAATTATTTGTTTCCATTTTCCCCCCATGAACAAATGACCACCTCTTAGATCCTAGCTGTTAAACCTAAATCATGGTAAACTGAATAATGGCCCCTCAAATAAGTCCATTTCCTAATCTCCAGAACGTGTGAATGTTACTTTGCATGGTGAAAGGACTTTGCAGATGTGACTAAGATTGGGAACATTATCCTGGATTATATGGGTGGGCCTGGTATAATCACACAGTCCTTATAAGAGGAACATAAAAAAAAACAAAAAGCAAACCTGTTGCCATCAAGTCAATTCCGATTCATAGCGACCCTATAGGATAAAGTAGATTTACCCCATAGGGTTTCCAAGGAGCGGCTGGTGGATTCAAACTGCTGACCTTTTTATTTTTTGGTTAGCAGCCAAGCTTTTATCCACTATGCCACCAGGGCTCCAAGAGGGACATAGGAGAAGTTAATGTGATGATGGAAGGAGGTTGAAGGGATGCACCCTGAAAAAAAGGGGCCACAAACCAAGGAATGCAAGTGACAACTAGAAACTGAAAAGACGAAGAAATGAATTCTCCCCTCAATGCCTCTGGAAGGGACCACCCCTGACTACACTTTGATTTTAACCCATTGAAACTGATTTCAGACTTTTGGCCTCCGGAACTATAAATTTGTGTTGTCTTAGGCCACTAAATTTGTGACTTATAGCAGCAATAGGAAACTAATACACTAAATGAACTATTGTTTTTGTTTCTTAAGGTTTGTTTATTTATACACCCACTGCTCACTTATCGACACGGTTAGGTTCCAAAGACCAGGTTGTTACACGAAATTTGGCCTTATGTGAAAGTGGAGGATGACCACATGAGATCACAGAATGGAGGATGACTACATCGTTACATAACTGCCAAATTACATCATTACGTAACTGCCAAACCACTAAAAATCATGGCCCAGTCAAACTGACACATAACCTTAACATCACAGCCAGCGTTACTCTTGCCTCACATCTCAGCATTTGTTACTGCCAGAGATACGTCGTTAATGCGCGAAATAGTCAGATAGTAGATTTTTTACTATTGTCATAAATGTGAAATGTCATATAATGAGATAGTTGATAGATGAGGAGTACATGTACTTGCATTTACTAAAAAATACATATTTCTGTGACTTGGACCAGAGCAGCCAGGAGGTCCCTGAGTTCTCGTGCTGTCTCATTTCTGCAATGTGGGTCTCTCTTGTAATGTAGATAACCTTCTTCAGCAGCCTTCTGCTACCTGGGCACATCTTCAGTTTGTTGTCTCTGCCAGGTCACAAGAGCAGCCCACCCACTGCATCCCTTCCTCTTCACCCTGGCTCGAAGCTGTGCTTCCTGCATTTTGCAAAAATGTAATCTTGA